AGGGATTTGAAGACCGGCGACGTGGGGTGGGGGGAGGGATTTGAAGACCGGCAACGTGGGGGGAGGGGCTGTGAGCGATGTGTGAGGAATGTTGGGAGAGAGGGCAAATATGTAAAAAGAGAAGTCTGAATGGTTTAGAGACCCCTTAGATGCAAAATGGTTAAGAGGGAAAATGTAACCATTCAGAGCCATTTTTTTTTGCCAAACAACCTTGACCTCTTACCGATTAAGAGGTTGGCTCTTAATGTAACCATTAAGAGCCAAACAAACAGCCCCTTATTTGTTTGGATATTTTGTTTTGTTAAAATGGATATTTAGTCTAAAATTCTAAATTACATATGTTTTTTAAGTTTAATATTTAAAGTCCATTAAAGACCCAAACCGTCTAAACCGGTCAGACCAAACCGCCTTTTCATGGTCTGGTTTGACCGGTCTGGGCACTTGATGTCAAACCACTCGCTTTGAAAATTTTATAAACCGCCATTGCGGTTTGGTTTGTGGTCTTAGGGGTTAAACCTCCCAAACCGGACCGCGAACACCCTAGGTGACATGACATGATTATATGGCATGATAATATGATAAATCAATTAAACAAAATAGAAGTAGGGAGTTTCTTTGGTTTGTTCTGTGTGCTTTTTAGCTAGGTAGGCTCTTTGCATTCTTTTATAGCTCTGTTTTCAAAGAAAAAAGAACCTTTTTTGCATATTTGTGTCTTTTATTTGTGCATTATAGACATAGTTATGTTTCATATTCTTTTTTGCAAGCCGGAGGTCTTCTCGGAAACAACCTCTTTGTCTTTTTGGGACAAAGGTAAAGTCTGCTTACTTCTTACCTCCTACATCCTACCTCTGGGTGGGGTATATTGGGTCTGTTTGGTTGGGTTTGGTTTTAATTATACAAAATAGAAAGTGGGATCAATTATTTATTATCTTAGTAAATTATGATGCTATCTCATTAGCTATATTTGATACTTATGGTTTCTTGGTGTCTCCCCGACAGTTCTCTTCACTTTTCTACGTGCTAAATTGCACAATTGTACTCGCATGTTTGTGTCTTCCACTAGAAACACACACACACATATATATAGATATATGTATATGTGTGTGTGTATAATCATGCAAGCTTTGCTACTTTGAGCACCAGGAGTTTGCCATCAATGTATATGTTAATTGACATTGCCAACTATGAATGTATCTCTGAGATCCATGGAATCTTGTATATTGTGTTACACCAGCTATCTAATTTAGCTACTAAAGAAGCAGGTAGTTTCAGCCCAAGCTTTTGCTTTGTAATTTGCAAGTTCAAGATATGTGACATATTTTTCTTATATACATGTGGTTATTTGGTACTGCTATTTTATTTGTGCAGGTATGCAACTTATGGTCCGGAATACATCTATCCACAGGTCAATAGTGCTCCTAATTGCCATGACTGACCTCGAAACACAAAATTTATACCTTTTAATTCTAGTTTAACGTTCATACTGATCTTGAATTTCTTACCTGCTTCAAAGAATTATTTACCTTCTGATAGGGCATCTACAATCCGTATGTGGGTCAACAGTATCTTCAGATATATGGAGTACCTGGCACAGTTAACACACAAGTATATCCATACAATCAAATGGGTCAAACTGCTCCAACGGGTGGTTATACAGCTTTGCAGAGTTATACATTGCCTGGTCAACAGATTATCCAATATGGTGGACCTGGTGTAAATGGAATAACTACTCCTTCCATTCAGACAATTCAAGCGCCATATCCAACAGGCAGGTTTTCTTTGTTGAAGTCGTTTTTGTTTCTATCAATATGTTTTACTTGCATAGGATTATGATCTACATATAATAGTGTCATCTGGGTACTTGCCCAATCCCATGAAAATTGCAACAGTTTTTGAAAAGTTTTCATGTGTTACACTTGCCTTTCTGATATTTGAAAAGTTGAACTACTGTTGTCCAAATTGTCATTATTTATTCATCTAAATTTCAATAAAGATTGTAATGTTTGACCACAGATACTTTAAGAGAAATGTTTGATGATTGACCAAGTGTTCCAAATACCATTAGACACAGGGAAATAGGAGAAACTTGTGGGATCAAATCAATATTCATTAGTTCTTTGTAATGATAGCTGTGGCAAGAAACTAATGTGAGATTAGGGACCCACCAAGAACAGAGAAATGGTGAAAAATGTCATTTCTATGTTGGTTGTTTTGCATAAACTTGTCTTTTTTTGTCATCATCAGGTGTTGTGGCACCTATTCCAGGACAACATTTTATGGTTCCTGCTCCACCTCAGTTCATTCAAGGCGGCGGTTCTGGACAAAATGTCGGGTAAACATCTGATTAAGGTGAATGAATCTAATGATATCTGAAGTCTGCATCATTCATTCATGCTGCTGATAAACAGTCAAAAGAAGAAAAWTTAAATAACTTGAAATCTCCATAAATTTGTAAGATGCAGATTCTTGTTTTGCAGGTATCCRTAGATTGCAGCAGGACTTAGAGCAGCAGTACTGCTACTTGAGTGGCGGGCTTGGATCTAGCCTTGCAAGTTACTWGTTTTGCATTCTAGAGGTACACAAACACTTGAAAGTCCTTTCATCTCCCACAGTTTTCTATTTTTGGTCATAAATTGCTGAATTTTAACGGCATAGGGAGGTTTRTTGGTTAAGCTTGGATAGAACATCTCTTATTAAGAAGTAATAGCCCTTTTGAAATGAAGTCATTGGAACCCTGAAATTTAGACAAAAGCACCAGGTTTGTAAAGATGGATATGATGCACTAAGCTAATAGTTTTGAACTAAGATACCAAAATTGTTTCTTGGATTAATACAACCTCACGAATATGAATCTTGGTTTTCTGATTTAAGGACCTTTGTACTTATTGCTTTGTTTCTGAAAATAAAGATACATTTTTTCCATTTTTGCATCTAGGGCTATGTTTGGCAAAACCCTTTTTATAGTCATAGGCGAAATAAGGTCAGGGGGTGTTTGGTTACAGGTATTAAGCAGTAATTAATAGGAATGAAAATAAAAGAAACTGTTTGGTATTATATAATATAATGGGCTCATTCCCTCGAGAGCCCAAAACTTCATTCCAGATTAAACTGGGGGAATGAATTTAGGGAATGAAAATTCATTCCCATTTTCATGTCCAACCATTTTCATTTTCTTTCCCCAGATGAACCAAACAGCCCCTCAATTTTAGTACTAGTTCATAAGTTGGTTGTCCGTTGAAAAACTAGTTGTTAGTAGATAAGTTGGCTCATAAACTAGTCATGTTTGGAAAAAGACTAGCTGATAAGCTATATTATAATGTAAAATGACTTATGAGGACATGTTGAAAATTAAATAGAAAAATATAAAGGGCATAATTGGAAAAAGGGAAAAAAGCGCTTGTTGAAAATAAGCTATTTCAAGTAGTGTTTCAATAAACTAACTTATGGGCAACCAAATAGGGCTTTTTCAATAAGCTCAGAAAATAAGTTGGTTTATGTTTGCCAAACATGGCCTGAATAGGTAGTATGAATCCAAGACTGACATGAGGATGGTGTTATTTACAGATATCAGTTCACATTAATAAAAAGACAAATCGACTTTTGAACATTGAGATGGTTGTATTTTATATTCGACATGAAGTTTTGAACTCTTTAAGAAGGTTTTGATGTAGTACGTTATTAAACATAATGAGTTTGACTTGTGGAATGAATGCAGGTGATACTCGAGAGAGAAGTCAAAGTCATTGTCCGAGTTGCTCCTGTTGTGTGGAGAAATTCCAATAGCATGCGAATTGCCTCTTTGTTAAACCACACCACCACCATGGCTTGCTCTACCAGTGTTATGGATGACTGGTAGACGCCGGTGGCCATGTGAATGGCCACCGGAAGCTGGAATCGTTTTCCGGCTCCATGGTCCCTCCTCCTATCCTATGTAATAAAGAACCGGTGTAAACAGTAATTAGAAGAATCAAAATATGATTCTTGTTCTAGTTACAAAAGCCGGATGTGTCCTCCATTTTGTTTCGATCCTGAATTCCAAAGGGTGGAAGCTTAGGATCTTTTACTTTATTAAGTATCAGAAATGAAGCTATCATGTGTTTGTGTAACTCATCTTCAAGAAAATTGTAATTTTCAGATGTATGTATGTATATAGAGTAAATTTCAAATCTGGTCCTTTTACTTGTGATAATGTCAAATATTCATCATATAAGTCAAGTCTATAAATGCGCACAAAATACGAGAGGCTTTAAGTAGTAAATTGCATCAAAATATAAAAAATAGAACTTTATAACCATATGTTCCTATTGAAATATCACTTTCATACACAATAATACCTAGAAGCTTATTAGAAAGTCATTGATTTAAAAAGTATTTGTCGTTCTTATCTAGGAAACCAATTTCTAGTCCTTGGGCATGAGGAATGTTTGGAGGGCTAAAAGGACAATGCGCAAATCCAAATGTTTTATGAACTGTGTACCACATAAGTGCAAATGAAATCTGAATTACAACAATGGATGCCTACTTCTTGGCTCTCTTTAGCAGAAATTTCAATGAGAAAAACCCAAGAACAAAAGTCTGCCAAAACCACCCTCTAGAATTTACTGGATCCACTCTCTTGGCTAATCTCCATGCATATATAGCTTCGCCAACATGCATCAGCGTAGCCCAAGTCGCAAGCAGCCTTAACGCCCACATGGAACGTAAAATGAAAAGACATGCAGATCTAAGCAGTGGTATAGGTCCTATATCAGGGAAGAATGCAGCAGCAATCACAGCAGACATTCCAAACACGCAGAAAAACCATTCGTAGATCGTGGGCCCATCCAAACTTTTACGTTTCCGCTCCTTGTAGAATGAGATGGTTGCAGCCATACCCTCTTGAGGAGTTGTGATAGGGGTGTAGCCCAGCTCCTCTTTTGCTTTAAGGTAACTAAAATAATGGGTCACACCGACCTATATATAGAGAAGAAAAGATTGTATGATTTATGATAATGGAGCGATTTTGATTTATAAGCCAAGAGAGTATTGCTATACGAACCTTGTAAACTTCAGCAGGAAGCAATAATGGTTGAGGAAGCCATCCACGGGTCAACCAAGGATACATGATCGTGTAGAATATGGAAAATGCATTTCCCACAATAAGAGCTGTTGAGACAGGTAATGATGCCTTTGGCATATCATATTCTAGACTTGTGAGCAGCGGACGAAGAAATTCAAAAGTGTTGACAGGAGAACCTGTTTATCAAAGTGTATCATTGTACAAACAATAAAAAGCAAACAAAATATATTCCATTCAAAAGTAGGGTCTAGCGGATGGGATATACGCAAACCTGTCCTCCAACTCAAAAGGTAGAGCGGTTGTTTCTATGAAGACCCCCGACTTGTGCCAAAATGAATCACTATATCACATCTCAAGATATTTTTCAACAGAAACATAAAAACTAGACATTTAGAGAATCAATTTTCTATATGGTCACATTACAAAAATACATCCGAGTGGCTCTTAGATGGTCTTTATAACGAAGCATATTTAACAGGTATCTTGTTTATAAGGATTTGGGACACTTGTTATTCAGGGCCCTTGACACAAGGATTTGTTTATCTTGACAGTGCATACAAAATTATCTAATTTAATCAACCATCAGCCACCTCAGAATAAAGAAAAGTGGTACATGTGAAAATGCAATTGTTCTCTTTTGGAACTCTAGTTCCATGTGTACTTCCTCAAGAAGAATTCAAGTACCCAGCTTTCACGAGTCTAACAAATAGTTTGTCCAATAAAAGTTGCAGCAATTTCCGCTCGTGATTTCCAGCTAAATGGTAGAAGTTTCCTATATTTAAGATCAAGTTGGTACGTGCCCTCATAGTTCTCATTACAAAACTAATTGTGATGGTAGAAGTTTGATCCGGAAATATTCACTTTTGTTTGGAAACCAAAGTTTAATATATAACACCAAATCCCCTATTAGTTCATACCATGCTCCTCCATTCTTCATTCTCCATTTGTGAATCCTACCTTTATTTCTTTGCTAGGTTTCTAATCATAAAAGTCGGACCCATAAAAAGAAAATGTTAAATGAAATAAACGGAAGTGTTAGATGAAGGTATAAGTTTTGGCAGTAAAATGAAAATTACCATCTGATATAAAGTATGGCTGGCCAGCGGCAACCGGCTGTTTTCCTCTTCCAGGGATGTCATCCAAAAGTCCCATACTAGCCAGAATCAATGCCAGAACCAAGTTATCAACATAAACCCAGTCACTTTTGACATTTGGTTCACCAATTTTGAACGGAAGCAGGCCTAATTTCGCAAGATTGATAATCCTAGGGAAGTGTCTTTCTTCACCAGGTCCATATATAGCAGCAGGACGGATTGCACATGTAAATAAACATTCCCCATTCTTTTTCCTATAAAACAATAACCAGGAAAAAATTGCTTGTGAAACAGGGGATCTTACACACTTGCATCTAATACACTATGCAGTATGAATATAAAAGGCCAGATTTGGCTTCAAAAAACCAAAAGGTACATTTCAACCAAAAGACTAGACTTGCTTAATCTTTTGAGAGTACTATACAACAAGCAGTACAATATGCATCAAGTTGGAATCAACATATCTAACTATATAAAATCAAACCATACGTTCCATCCATGAAAGTGCAACAATTTCCATTTTGAGCTGTCGCATAAAAGTTGCCAAATTACCTTTTATGAGAAGTTTTCAAGTTGAAATTACCTATTTCCTCATTATCATCAAGTAAACTGATGGTATTGACTTAGGCCTAGAAAGTTCCTTTATTTTATCTTTCTTGAAGGGTAGTTCAGATATTAAAGAAATAGTTAAAAAAAAAGATAATCTTAAACTATAGGCTAAGTCAAACATGGGACGAATAGAGTAAAAATATTGAATAAATATATTATACATACTTAGAAGGGCGACCATTGCTTTTAAGAACAAGCTGCTCAGCAATAGATTTGCTTCGGCTGTATGGATCAACATGGTTGTCCAAGGGGACATAAGGCAGCTGTTCATTTCCGTTAACAATTTCATTTCCAGCAAACACAACATTGGATGTACTCACATATACAAGTCTCTTGACACCATGCTCATGGCAAGCTTCCAGAACATGGCAGGTTCCATTTATATTCACGTCATCAACTCGACCATATTGAAGCATTTCTTTGCCAGACATGCCAAATGAAGCTAGGTGGAAAACACAATGTACTCCGCGCAATGCCTTCTCCACATCTTTTCTATGACTGATGTCCCCTAGAAACATTAATCACCACCAAGTGAGTTGCATATAATATAACAAAGGTCATTATTGGAGTTACTTGCAGAAACAATTTTATTAAACCATGCCACTAATTGAAAACTATCAAAAGAATGCCACATTAAATGGTATTTAGAACATGACATGAGGGATGAAGCTAGAATAGAAAATTTGGGTGGGCCAAGGCAAAATTGTAAAGCCAAAGTAGGAAAAAAAATTGAATCATAAACCATGGAAAGGCTATCATTGATTGAGTTATGCTATTGCATCATCTCGATAAAGATGACAACTGAGAAACAAAAAGAAAAGAAGACAATCAAATCTACATCAAGAATCAAGTCTAAGTTAGATAAATTTTATTTTGCTTTACCAAAATTACCCTTACATTTTTGTTACGGCTATTTATTCTTTTTCTTTTCGTACAACAATTTTCATTGAGTCAATTTGAATATTACACGATAAACAAGGTATTATGTAAGAGTGCTCATTAACTTCGAAATTCTAAGTGCACCAGATCATAAATCTTAATAGATTTAAACCGATTCATGTCATTACACTAAACCGAGGGGCCAAAGTCCACCTTGGCTCTTCATAGCTCCATCACTACAAGACATACAAGCTTTGTACATTTGATGAAGACGATCATACCACATTATTTCATTAGTGTTACTCTACTTGAAAATTTGTGCAAGAAAGATAATCAAACCAAATCAAACCAAACAAACCCGGTATATTCCACCCAAAAGTAGGTCTGGGAAGGATATATGCAAATGTTTCCTCCGTCTCTTTACAGAGAGCCTGTTTCTGTAAAGACCCCGGCTTGTGGACAAAATCTGGAAAACACAGCTAGAAAGCCACAATTTGTTCAAAAAAAAAAAAAGATGAACAATGCATTATCATCTTAGTGACTTTGTGCCATAAAAATTGCAACACATTAACCTGAGAAATGGTTTAAAGAAAGAGCTCGACTATTTGCCAAATACCCTTCAACGAAGGCAAGTAAAGAATTTTGTAGACCCAAATCAATACAATTAAGTTCTTTGTAATGATGAAAATGAGCAAATAAGAAATGTCAGCTATGAAACTTTTCAAAAAGGAGATTGTTGCAAGTTTAGTTGTTCATCCCCAAGAAGGATAATTATATAATTTTCATGAAATGGAAAGGAATACATACTCACGGTTCTTTTCTTATACACTATCCTCATGTCTGCACCTTGCAATTTTGGGGCATGTGCAGGTGAGAGATGGAGGAAGCAATATTTCAGAATCCGCTGCTTTTCTAAATTCTTATCTATCCAACTGAACATGGATGAGTGGAGTTTTAACTGCAGCTATTGGCCTCTCCCCCCCCCCCCTCCCTTGCATGTGTGTATATATGTAGGTACATATATACACCCATGCATAGATAGATGCACTCAGGTATACTTTTCTTTCACTTCCCCTCAGGCCTCAGAGTCGCAAAAAGCCAAAGGACTCAAAAAGCACTAATCGATTAAATTTCAACCCCAAATCCTGATTGATAAGGATTATGGAAGAGAAATGCCAATTGTCAGTCATTAGGAGCTTGAAGATTAATCTATTTACCAGCAGACTCCAATTAGTTATAGGTTTGTACCAAGATTCATAAATAGCACATAATTAAAAAGGAACACAAAACCTAATCCTGGAAGCAAATCAAGAAACACGAAGAATCCCTACTAGCAAATTTTGAAGACGAAATATAAATAAGAGAAGGAAGGGCAGGCGATACCTTTAAGAAAGTGGACTCCATTTTCGAGAAGATGATCGGACCAAGGAGACGTCGATCTTAGATCAAAGGCTCGAACAAGACGAGCACCTCTACGAAGCAGCTCCAAACAGAGTGCAGAACCAACAAAACCCAATCCACCTGTAACTACGAATGCCTTCCCCTCTATGCCCTCATTCTCACTCAAATGCATCTCTGCAAATTGGAATAGCTTACGATGATGAATGAAATTGGAAGCAAAAATGAATAGATTAGACTTTGACGCCGACTGCCTCACTCTACCACGTGTTGACCATCAGGCCTGACGGAATCTTGGTGACAAAACCCAAGCTTTGGCCGCCGATCATCATTAAATACACTTGAGAGTAAATTACAGCGTTGGGTCCCTGTTGACAATCTCGATATGGTTTTTCTTTAAAATAAGTACACGGGGTTCCTATGGTTTGTATTTTGTTTTGATTTGGACCCTAAAACTAACATCCTTAAAATTATTAACCCAGAGATAAATTAGTCGTTTTAATTTTGTCTCATTTTTAAATTAAAATTAAAAATATTCCATATGCATATGCGTACACCGTTGGTCCTTGTGGAGCTCTGGACCTGTGTGTGAGAGATCCGATAACAACCACCACCACACCATCCCAAATGGCCAAACCTTCCATTCCATCTCCACATTCTTATTCAGACAAAGACCCAGAAACGATAGAACAATCTAAAAAAATAGAACTCCTTATTGCCACCAACATTGGATGAGACTAACACTTCTACACCAATATTTCTCTCTATAATAACCACCACCCTTGGCAGCATGCAATGCAAAGGGGGTGAGCCATGAGATTATCCAACAAAGACCAAATCACTATTTTCAGCAATTGCTTTCTCTTAATAAGTCCTAATTTGTATAACGTAATTTAGGTCTTTGATCTCGTCTTTTTAGGTTGTTATTGTAGTACCTTGTTTTTCTGCTTTGTAAGGCTACTATAATTATAAAGCCATATCCTTTCCTTCGAATAATGCAAGCTTTTGAAGTTCCAACTTACTCTGTTCTTCAAGGCTTGAGAGTATGGTATCAGAGCCCCATATTGGACCTGATTCTAAGAGAGTTAGGAACTATAGTATCGAGTGAAACACTTGGTGAGGAGGAGTGATACACTTACTGAGTGCAAGGGACAAATATAACAATAAATTCCAAATCATAAGAATAAAAACAACAACAAATTACAAACCACATGGATTAAAATCAAAAGTTCAAAACCATAGAGATAATTAAAATAGCAACATTTCTCAAATTACAAAGACGAAATCCGTAATTTGCTCTAGATAATATAAAATATTAATATAACTTACTTTATCCTTTAAAAATAAAACAATGTTTTTTGAGTTTTACGACAAGAAGAATGGAATATTTTTTAATGTTTCTTTTGTGTAAATCGATGTGAATTAAAGAAAAAGTAAATTTGAATGACCATATAAATCAAGTGAAAGTGAAGAAGAACAAATTGAATTAATGATGGGCCAAATCTAGAAGAATATATATATATATATATATATATATATATATATTAACGTTACATGAATTAATGATTTGTATCTCATGCATGCAATAAATTGAAGTTGTACATCTTTCTGAAGAGATGGAATTGTGTTGATTAGAAGAAGCTGAAGTTGTTGAATCTGAAGGAAGAAACATTGGCATAGGCATGAAGGAGTTCATTTTAAGTCTGCTTTAAGACCACTTCTCTTCACTGCTTTTAAGATCTTGTTTCTATGTGCATACCCTTTGACAACCACCTTCTGCCTATTCCCATCCACTTCCACCCTCTCTATTCCTGCAATGAATTTATCAATGAATTTAATCTTGATGTTCAGCTAAAATCAAGAAATCTTGATGGGTGATTACCTCTTAATTTGGACAGACATTTTCTTAGTCTTTTCTCATGTATGCCCACCATGTCTACCTTCAATTCGATAACCTGCACAACATTCAAAATATTACTATACATAATAGCTAGTGCATGATTGAAATTGGAATAAGAGAGTGTACCTCCATTACGAGTTTGCGACTTGATGAAGAGAAAGATCTATTGTGGGTTTGAAGAAATACGAGAAGTGAGTTGAAGGGAAAGAATATTGCATAGTAACATGAGAGAGATTATATTACATATATGTATATATATAATATACACGTAGCAGAAAGGTGGTGTGGGGTTGGGAATTGAAAGATGGGATTAATAATGACAACTAAAGTAGATCTTCTTAGCCTATGACTGTCACTTGGCTTAAAACGGTTGGATCGAGAGGGAGGGTTGTCTGTTTCTTTGGACATTGGGTTCGGTTTGAAAGGTATGTACGTGTATTGATGCATAAGGTACAAGTGTATTCATGCATCTTCCTAGTGAGCAGGCTCCACCTTCAAGGCACATGGCCCAAAGCAAATCTGTTGATGTCGTCGTCTAGGCTTTAAAGAAATCATCAGCCGGCTTTAACCGGTCCAATTTCACTTTTCATTTTCAATTGAAAATTGAATATAACCATAATCTAATTAATATTAGACTAAATTATGAACATTGTTCATGTGGTATGAAGAATATTTTGATTAAAAAAATGTGAAGTTATGCTATTTCTCTTCTTGATAACTATTATGCATGTTTCATTCATTTATAAAGTACATCATGTGCTTTTATACAGACCATTTTGGTTATTCTTCTTCCAAAATGTGACATGACATTTTGGAGGAAAAAACTAACAACATTATTAAAAACATGTTCAGAAACATTAATCAAAACTGTAGCGCATAATTAATGAAGAAATGGTGTGGGAACATACAAAACTTTAATGGAGTATTGGATAAGAAAGTGTATGAATGTATTTTTCTCGATAAATGGTTGGGTTTTTGCTTGTCTCGTTCTTCTCCAAAAGGACATGTGACGTCTTGGCAACCTCAGAAGTAACATACACGGCCGTATGGTTTTTCATCCCTACTAATCTCCATATCAATAATATTATGAGGTAACCCTCAAATTAATCATTCATTTTGAATTAGTTAATTCTTAACCGTTTATATATCTTTCTTGCATGCTTTTGCTCTAACGAGTATACTATCCACATACAATAGTAGATACAAAAGTGATTATTCTCATATCACCTTGAAAATGAACACAATTGTCATACAAGTATGGAGTAATTAGAACCATGTGAAGTCATAAACACATCAAGTACCATAAAAAAACAATGCAGTTTGAAGTAAAATGTAAAATGTGATGTAAAATATAAAGTAAAATAAATATGTGATGGCCTCAAAACCATATAAAAGACAATGCAGTTTGAAGTAAAACACAAGTTGTAACCTATTACCATCAGCTACATTCATGATACAGTTGACAACTTGGCTCACCCTTAATTTTGCCTCATTGTTTCTGGAAAAACTCCGGATTTCCTTTTACAGTTGTTGGGTTTGCAAGCTCTAACAAACCTTTAGTTGTCCATAAATAACTTAGGAGTTAGATTCTTGTTGGTTGTTGATATCATAAAGGTAACATATTCAGTTTGACAGTATCCATTGAAAAATACTGATGAAGCACTTGATATTTATTAGGCTCTGTTGGTTTTAGTTACTTAAATTACTTAATTTATATGGTGTCTTCAGAAATAACAATTTGATCTTAGTTCTTACTTATTTTAGTTGGAATCTCATTAAGGCTACTCGTTTGGTCAGTCTTGAACCCTTGTTCTTCTTGTTTTTAGTTGGAATCTCATTAAGGCTACTCATTTTGTCCATTGCAAAATTAATAGTTTTTTTATAAACCAAGTCATGATTAGAAGTGAATGTTTATGCAATGGTTCATGACCTCAATTTGTAGATGCTCTTTTGTTTCATTTTCATTACGAATTCGGTCTTTTACCCTAACTCTGTTAAATTTTCTCTGTTTAACGAATTATTTTAATGATCGTTGACCAAACATTTACAATTCTAGAGATGTCTAGTGGTAGTTGGTGTTTCAAATGAAGATTTGCATGTATTGTTGATGAAGGAGGATCAAATGAAGGGGAGAACGTGTCCATGGAGGTTAATG